ATCTTATCTTATCTTATCTTATCTTATCTTATCTTATCTTATCTTATATATTAATACATATTAATAACTAGAACTGGAATTACAAGTGGTTGTAAGTGTCCCAAAGTAGGTGCTGGGAACCAAACCTGGGTGCCAGTAATGACTGAACTATCTCTTGCAAATTTTTCCAATGGTCTTTAATTTCTTCTTTTAAATGAATATTATTGCTGTCGTTTTAGTGAAATGGACCATGAAGACACAGATCACACTCCAAAGGACACCACATACAAGAAAGTCATTTTCAGAAAATACCTTGATAGTACTTTCACAAGTCGTGATCCTCGGGCAGAATATGAGGAGCACCTTGGCATTCTTGGTCCTGTCATCCGAGCTGAAGTGGACGATGTGATACAAGTGAGTCATCACTTGAACCCTCTAGGGGACTCTATAGGGGACTTGCCACAAGCACCAAAAGTTGCCTAAGGTGAAGGCAACAGAACTATAGGGAATTGGCTTCCCAGAATTAACAAATAATTGTACTCTTTCCCCACAAAGACTGCTTGGCTCTTTGACAATTTTTGAACTACAAAAAAGATCTTATACTTTTTAACAGTCAAAATGATTTAATCTGGAAGAAGTAGCACTGAGATTTCTAGCTGAAGCCAGCCTGTCTTCAACTAAAATGGAAAACAAGTCAACAGTATTTCATGGCTGAGGTGGGAACAGCAATAGCATTGATTTATAAAAATGTCCCTTTACTTTCTTAAGAGACGAGATAGTGAAATGAAAAGAAACTAGAAAACAGAGTAAAGATGCCTCTCTACCCTAAATGAGTGAGCCGGTTTCTTAAGTATCTTACCAGACTTAGTCATTGAGTGCTTTCAAAATCCTGTATCCAGTTCCCAGACAATAGCTTATTTTTATTGTTATGGGGTATCTACACAACCAGAATTCAAATTGAAAGTCTTTATTAAGCAGACCAGCGACTGCCTGGAGAGAAACACTTTCACAAATCAGCCCCATAGAATGCATATTATAGGAAGTTTTTAAAGATAAAGAACATAGAAAAACTATATCCTGGTTTGCAGTTGCAGAAGGAAGCAAGCAAGCAAGCAAGCAGTTTAATAGAAGCCAAGAATATGCAGTTAGCTGGAGCCTTTTGACTCTGAGTTTCTAGAACAGTGTTGAGTGCTTTCCCACAGGACTTTTCATGGTAGGGGTTAGAAACCAAAAATGGCTTCAGCTGAGACAAGATGGAAAAACCTTTACCCTGTTACATCATAATTCCCCCATCCTTCTTCACCTTTCACATATCAAACAATAAACAAAATAATAATAATAAGCAAACAAGACACATGAGAAAATGCTGTGAATCTAAAGTAAACCACTCTGTGTCCAAAACCATAACATTTTACTGGTGTATTTACCAAACTGTCAATGACTATTTGCTCTTTTTCAAAAGACACAGAGGGTCGGGGAAATGGCTCAGTGGGTAAAGAGTAACCACTTAGCATGTGATATGCAAGCCCCTGTCCTTGAACTCCAACACATCAAGACCAATCAATCATAAAAGACAGTGGAAATCTGTTTTAGTCAGCTTTTTGTTGCTGTGGTAAAACAACTGAGGTAAGAACCTAAGGAGGAAAAACTTCTTTAAGCCTATTATTTCATCCATGGTTGCTTGACTTCTTTGCTTTGGGTCCTCCATTGAGGCTGGACAAGATGGCTGCTCACCTCATGGTGGCTAGGACTTAAAGAGAAAGAAAGGGAGATGCCAGTGTCCTGAGATCTCTTCAAGGCATGCTCCAAGTACGCTATCTTCCTTCCATTAAACACTTGGCCCCACATCCAAAAGTTTTACCTCCCAAAGTGTCACAGGCTGGCAACTAAGCCATCATCAACACATGGTTTGGGGATCACAAAGCAATAATAAGATATAAGTCTCTTAATGGCTCTATACATTCCCTGAAGATATAAGAAGCTTTCTGTTGAGTGATTGGTCACTAGAAGTCACAGAGGAAAGCAACCAGAAGATTTATCCATGAGCCTGATGACTCTATGCATAGTCTCAACTGTCATCAGGGGTCTTAGTCCATCTTTGCATTTCCCAACTTAGTCACACCCAGGCTTTCCCTGCAGACTCCTTTCTACTCTTCTGGGAGCCTAAAATGACCCTCTTCTGATTTGTTCATTCTATAAGGGTCAATCCCATTTTTCCTGAGAACCTTTCCATGGTTCTTCCAAATTCTCCTATACACTCAGGTGGCAGCTGTGTTCCAAGGCAGTCCCCTACCAAACCCATTCACACTCTTTGTAGCACCTGTTATATCCAGATTTGTGCTTCTGGTTCACTCATGTCTGTCTCTCATTACCAGCAATCTGAAAGCTTATTAGGGTCAAGAACCATGCCTTATTCAGGTTCAAACCTCACTTGTGGGTATGTTAGATCTTTGTTGCTGTGACAAAATATACAGGGGAAACTATTTAAAAGGAAAGATTTCTTTTGGCTTATGGGTTTAGTGCATTCTGTTTATAGTTACCTGCCCTCCATCTCTGTGTGTGCCCCAGAGAGCCCCTTTCTTCACCACATTCCAATAATATGATCGAATTATGAATCTGCCATCCTATTTATCTGTTGATCAGAACCCTCATGGTATAATCATCATCCTGAAGTCTCACAACCAAATAAGCTCTCAACACATGAGTCTGGAACAGACACTTTGAACCCTTAGAGAAGTAACTTACAATAGCTTAGCTTGAGCCTAAGAACACATTTTAGTGTTTCTAGGGTAAGTTGCTCAGGCCCTAATTTATGAGATCATTGGTAAAATAGATTAAGTAATGTGCATAAATTAATTTGCAATTATAGACACCCAGTATACCCTAGCTCTGATATCATAACTGCCTGTCACAGCCTGTAGCACTGTGGCTTTGGTTTGGTGTTCTTGGTATGTTAATACATTTGTGGATCACCCTTTTCTTTCTTTTTTTTTTCCCTCTAGGTTCGATTTAAAAATTTAGCATCCAGACCGTATTCTCTTCATGCCCATGGACTTTCCTATGAAAAGTCCTCAGAGGGAGAGACTTACGAAGATGAGTCTCCTGAATGGTTTCAGGAAGATGACGCTGTCCAGCCCAATAGCAGTTACACATATGTATGGCATGCCACTGAGCGCTCGGGGCCAGAGGACCCTGGCTCTGCCTGCCGGGCTTGGGCCTACTATTCTGCTGTGAATGTGGTAGGTTTCAGGTTCTTATCTCTCCCTCATCATATAGCCATAGTCCACCATTTCTTATTAAAAGTCTCTCCTGTGAACTGGGCAGTGGGGGCACATGCCTTTAATCTCAGCATTCAGGAGGCAGAGGCAAGCAGATCTGAGTTTGAGGCCAGCCTGGTCTACAGAGTGAGTAGCCAGGGCTACACAGAGAAGCCTTGTCTTAAAACCTACCCCCTCCCTCAACACACACACCAAAAGAGCCTCTCCTGCTTTGTGTGTGTGTGTGTTGTTGAGGGGGGTAGGTATTAAGAAAGGACTGCCATCCACAATATGGCTGCTATAGCCAGGAGTTCTCTATATAGTTCTTCAGAAATGGCACAGAGAAAAGCGTTCATCCAATGGACGTCATGGGGATTACATAAATGAGGTGTGCTCATTAACAATTTTAAAGTAGTTTAGTCTTAAGCCAGGCTTTGGAGAACTGCAGGAGGTCAGGAGGGGACAAGAGAAGGAACAAGCCAACAGTGTGGGCACAGATCACATGCTGGGTTTGGGAGTTTAAGGAACAAAGTTTTTCCCTGCTCCAGTTAAGCCAGGGGGAGACTCAGTTTGTTACTTAATGAATACCCTTTGCTAATAAGGAATTTTTGTATTTTGATAAGTCAATCCTGTTCTGAGTTAAGTAAGCACACAGAGAGGAGGCTGTGGTGTCCCCAGAGGAATAATCCAGGCACATTCCACCCCAAACAGCCAGAAAGGGAGGAATAACTAGCTTCTATAGACAAACTGTGCTGGCCACGGCAAGCTATGCCAACTCCCCTGGCCTCTTGGCTGGCCTTTGGCACCTAAGAAAGCCAGTAGGAAGCCAGCATCCATGCAGTGCCTTCTGCAAGCTAAGCTCCTCTTTCCCATATACCATGAGACACAGAGGCCTTTGCACAGTGAGACACCCAGACAAGAGGTGGCTGAGGACTCTTTCCAGGTTCACAGCCAAACCCAGGGTCTCCTCTATACTCAACAAATATTCTTCACTGAACGACACCCACCCCCACAAGTCTGTGTGGGTGTTCTTCTAAACTTAGATGTAAATACCCATTCTTGTCACTACAGGGGCACTAGGAATTTACCCTTTCATAACCACAGGTTCTAAAATTAAAATAAGATAAAAGGTTTTGCATGGTGGCCAAGATCTGTGATTACAGCCACTCAGGAGGCTATGAAATTGGCTCAGAGTGAAATCAAGGATGGTGTGAGAAATTTAGTGAGATCCTATCCTGAAAAATTAAAGAGGCTAGGAATGGAAATCAGTTTAATTCCCAGCTCCAAAATGGAGAGGGAGAGAAAGAAGGAGGGTGAGGAAGGAGGAGAAATTAGTAAACATATGTTCAATGAATGTATTTATATTTGCCATTTAGTACCATTGGAATTAAATAAGATACTACAGACAAAGCCTTTAATGCAGTATAGTTCCTCAATAAACAATATCTATTTGGTTGTCAACATTATTGTTACTCAGATAAAGGATAACTACCCAGGCTTATTAACTACTGATCTTCAAGTTTGGAGCCTCTAAAATGAGATTTTCTGTTATGTGAGAGCTGTGATTGTTGGAAGAGAAAAAAAAATCCAGGTGGAAGGAAAGCGTTTTCAGTTTGCTCTTCTTTTCCTCCAGGAGAGAGACATCCACTCGGGCTTGATCGGCCCCCTTCTGATCTGTCGGAAAGGAACACTTCACAGGGAGAGCAACCTGCCCATGGACATGAGAGAGTTTGTCTTACTCTTCATGGTCTTTGATGAGAAGAAGAGCTGGTACTATGAAAAGTCCAAAGGGTCATGGAGAATTGAATCTCCAGAAGAGAAAAATTCCCACGAGTTTCACGGTATGTTTCCTCTGTCTGTGATCTACTCTCTGATTAAAGCGTACCAGGTCACGGTGGTTCCTGCCCTTAGGCCTTCACAAGATTAGACCTTAGATGTTCCCGAGGAGTCAGGAGCACCAGTGAAGCCTGAGTCCTCGGCATCCTAAAGACAGGATTCGGCTGGTAGGAAAGCCTGCTAAAGATCATCGAGAGAGTGCAGGATAGCACACATGGGCTACTGCCAGATAAACCAACAAGAAAATGGGCACTGTGCCCCAGATAGCAGCATACATTGGAATGAGCATGACATCACTCTTTATGACAATAATGACTTTGTTTCTTGTTCTCTAAAAAAGTGAGTATTCACACTAAGACATGATCACATTTGTGTCTCTTCTGAAAACAAGGTGGCTCTTGGAGGCCCGTCTCTCTGCACTTGCAGGCAGCACCTATGCCAGGGAGCCTGAGAATTTAAGGAACTAGGAAGTTAAGTAGCCAGATGACAGGACACTGGCAAGAGAGCTCGCACTTAGGAGGTCACACTTGGGAAAGTATCTCTGTTCAGAAGTCCTTTGATCAGTCGCCCCCCCCACCCCCTTTTCATCTGCCTGTGGCCTGCAAATTGGCAGATAAATTACAAAACAGCTTTAGAGAATGAAGGGCTTAGTGCACAGCCAAAAATGACAACAGCTAGAAATCAGAATTAAATAAAGACAAGTGTATGCTAGGACAGCTCAGCAAAGAAGAACACTTGCTTCCAAACCCAAGAACTATTCCCTCAAACCTGAGAACCACTCCCTTAAACCCGAATGATGGGAGGAAAAACCAGATTTCCATAAGGTGGCCTCTAAATGTAAATGTCACCACATATTTGGTCACATGCACACACCCGAACACACACATGCACACCCACATGCACACACATGTACACATAAATTTAAAAGTAAATGAAAGACAAGTGAAGCCTATTTTCACAGTTTAAAAATGGAGGTGGTTGTCCTGAAATTTCTGATTACTGAGGACTTGTGCCTCAGGTAATGAGTCTGTCAGAATATTGGGAAAGAAGAAACTTGCACTTGCCTAAAATCTCAACACTCTGGAGGCTGAAGTAGGAGGAGAAGAAAGTTGGAGACAAGCCTGAGCTCCCCCATAAGATCTGTCTCAAGGAATACATACATACATACATACATACATACATACATACATACATACATACATATGTACATACATACATACATACCATGGGTCAAGATGTTTTTATAACATGCTATTAGATGCCACTTCTAGCCAGCCACTGAGGCTAGGTAGCCCTGTATCAGTAGCACACTCAAGACACACTTCTTCTATACTTGACCCTACTTGAAGGAGAAATTCAATAGTGTCCTGTAAAAATACTTTGAGATAACAAGCAGGCAAACAATGATTTGTTGTAAAAATCCCACCCATGAAGGATGAAATCTGCTTTTCATGAAAACATTTAAAGATTTTAAAAATTCAAATGTCAAAAGATTCTGTTAAATAGAATACAGTTGGTTCAGACAACTATTGGACAGGCTACAAATAGTGTTCCTTGCTCCTCCCCTCCTTTCTCTCCCCTCCCCTCCCCTCCCTTCTCTCTCCTCCCCTCCCCAACCCCTCCCTTTCCCTCCCTTCTCTCCCCTCTAGGCCTCTCAGCCCTGGAGCTTGCTCACATGAGCAGAAAGTGCGCCCTGTAGAAGTCCCCTCAGCCTAGTAAGAAAGTGCAGGCTGCAGTCAGACAGGCTTGTCTCTCAGCAATGCCCCTTGTTTAAGGAGCACCCTCCAAGAAACACTTCCTGATTTTCTCAAAAATTCAGATACATTTAGTACAGTTCAATACTAAATAACACTTCATAATTTGCTGACACTATGTAATCCCAACCTATAGTATTTATCAGGCTATGTGACAAACAGACCTCTGGAGTCCCCAGCCCCTGCCTGGCTTTTGTAGCCTGTGCTCAGGAGATACATGAAGTAGTGACTAACTGAGCAAATCCTATCATTCAGCTCCATCTACCAAACGTTCATTGAGTACTTGTTTAAAGTCCTCACTCTCATATCCTATGCAGCTATCCAACAAGGCCAACACAATTATCACCTCAATGCCCTTCACTCTTACGACATCTAATTCCTTAACAGAAACTGAAGCATGGGGTGAGGGCTGGTGCCCAGGTATGTAACTAGGCGTTCTCATACTTTGTATGATTTCACAAGTGCCAAAAAAATTTCAACTCCTTTCCTTTTTTTTTTTTCAACTCCTTTCCTTTCAAAAGTTTTCTTGACTGGTTTCCAAAATCCTACAGCAATCCCATGAAGAAGAGAATTCTTCTCTTGCTTATGATCCAGTTAAGTACTTAGTAGCAACAAGATTTAACATTAGCCTTTTTGTGTTATATTTTTAAGGTGATTAAGATTGTATCAGGTGCTTTAAACACACACAAACACATGCAGACCCACACCATACCACACACACACACAGTACATATAGACACACACAGAGAGATACACCACACACACATACACACCACATTCAGACACACAGAGAGACATACACCACACACACAGAGAGACATAGACCACACACACACACACACACATACCACATCATACCACATACACACAGACATACACCACACACATACCACATATACACAGACACACACAGACATACACCACACACACAAACACACAACACATACACATAGACACAAACTCACACACAAGCACACACACAGCACACATGCACAGGCACACAATGGTAGTATGCCCAAGGATAAATCAAGAAGGCCTTGGACTCAAGGTCACCTTGGGCTAAAGAGTGAGTTCCATGCTGGCCTGAGGTATATATACCAAGACCCCATCTCAAAACAAAATAAAACAAAACAAAGCAAAACAAAACAAAACTAAATCCACCTATTTCACTAAAGTAGTGTAGATACAACCTGGCAGTCTTAGACTCTAACCTGAGAGGTGGGTAGAGGAGCGGTCTCTGCAAGGAGAGAATGACACACTGAACCTGTCATTTACTGTCACCCTGGGGCTTTGCATTTTCCGCCCTTTTTCATTTTTCTACAGCAAAGGAACACTCATACTATCCATGTGAAGGACAAATGGACAAAGCCTTAAGCAGGAGAGGGACAAAATCTAGGGAAAAGAGAGACAAAAGCTGTTTTGAAATGGAGCTAATTCATACTTTTGTAGGTGTCTGTGAAGTAACCTAAGGATTTGGAAGTTCTAATTTAGCCTCTTATTAGTTCTATGGAACTGCCAAGGACTCTTTCTATATCTGGATAGGCTTTGGAATGCTCAGCAGTGAGGAAGATGAGTGGCGAGTGGGGGTCTGGCCTGACTCCTTGTGTATACAAGTTTTTAATTGATTACAACTCTCTTTCCTTTCAGCAATTAATGGGATGATCTACAACCTGCCCGGCCTGAAAATGTACGAGCAAGAGTGGGTGAGGCTACACCTGCTGAACGTGGGTGGCTCCCAAGATATTCACGTGGTTCACTTTCACGGCCAGACCCTGCTGGATAATAGGACCAAACAGCACCAGCTAGGGGTCTGGCCCCTTCTGCCTGGTAAAGATCTGAGTGATGGAAGAGGTCCCCGCTAAGGGATAGAAAGATGGGACACCTGTAATTGGCTCTCTTTCTCTCTCTGTACATCTACTATTTAAGGAATCAGAAGAGAAGATCTAGATCCCAAGGCGAAGCTCTGTTTCTGTGCTGTATACAGAGCACAAAACAGGTCCCCTATGAGCCGTGTGTAGGCACCTCGAAGGACAGATTTGCAAGCTCACATGGTTCTACAAAGATTCTGTGTCTCATGCAGTTTCTTCTGGGCCTCTGTGTGTCATAAGAATTAGATTTAAGTACATGACAGGATAAGACACAGAGGCACAGGAAAAGAGAAACAGATGCTGCTCAGAGGTTGATTAGAAACTTAAATTGAGCTCTTCTGGATTCTTGAAATCCACTTCTGAAACCTTTCTGAGGAAGTGACTCTGGGAATCATAATCTTGAACAGATCCATGACTCTGTTTGGAAGGCTAGATCTTTGAAAGGGTATCCTTTCAATGACTGGAAGAGCTGACAGAGGTATAGAGAGCTTTTCATGAGAAAGTGGGAGGGTTAGTGTAGATCTAAACAACCTACAGTCATCGGAGAAGAGTTTTTTTTGTTGTGTCCCTGAGTTGTTTCCAGGGAGATCTGCTAGTGAAAGGAGTTATGAGGGCGAGATGCCACTGAAGACCCAGGACACCAGCTAGGATACACATCTACCGAGAGTTTACTCTCAGAGATCTTGGATAAGAGTAGGCCTTGAGGAAGAGAATCGGGGTTCTGCATCTTTTCCAAGGTCCGAGGAACTAGTGAAAGGCAATCCCTTTGCAGGAGTTAGGGTGAGGAAGTCACTGTGTAAATTGGTCTCATATGTGGACATGGGGGAAGTCATTATGTGTATTGGTCTTACATGTGAAAATGGGGTTCAGATGGCTCGGTTTTTAAAGAAGATGGAGAAATGGCTCCTTGTTTGATTCTCCCATGCCACTTTCTAAGAAACCTAGAAAATGATGTTTTGCCTAACAGGATGGACCAACAAATTCAGCCCATATTTTCACCAGAAAAGAACATGAGAAATCTTGCTCACTGTGTTTGAGATGGATAGCCATCAGCTGTTAAGTTTTACTTACAATCAGGGATGTGGTCCTAAATTATGGTCAATGAAATCTAAGCATGGGCTCCATTGGCAGAGTAAACATTAAGTGTCAGATAAATAAGCAGAAGTTTCAGAAACCTTTTCACTTTTTCTGAAACAATTTATATATAATTTATCCAAGTATTTACACTTTTGAGAGTATTTGAAACCGTAAGGAAAGGATTTTTTATTCCTTACATATTAACAAAGAAAAAGAAAGAAAGAAAACACATTTAATAACCATAAAGTTGAATCATTTTGAAACTTGAATTGTGAGTGGGCTAACTTTTAACAATACATTTAGATAAATAAAAAATTTCTTTTTAAGGGGAGCTGGTAGATTTTTTTTAAATGTCTGAGTGATTTATTTTTTAGCATTTTTTCTTATTTGTCTGATGGTTTATTTGCTCAAAATAGTCTCATGTGTCCCCGTGCAGTAACAGATGGCCTTGAATCCTGATCTTTCTGCCTCCTCCTTAAGAGCACTTTGATCAGCAGCACACACTGAGGTGCCCAGTTTATAGGGTTCTTGGTCAACATCGGGACTTTGAATTCGAGGCAAGCATTCTCCTGACTGTGTACCTCCCCACCCTTGCTTTGGTGATTTGTGGGTTCTGGTGCTGTAGCTGTTATTAGATTCATCTTCATATGTAACAGCCTCAAGAGAAATGCATCTCTTTTAATTGAAGTCTCCTCTGTAGCTTTGGGATACAGGGACTTACTTGTTAACCACTGAGTTTGTAATTTTGTCCTTCATTCTCTATTTTAGGTTCATTTAAAACTCTTGAAATGAAGCCATCCAAGTCTGGCTGGTGGCTCCTAGACACAGAGGTTGGAGAAAACCAGGTAGCCGGCATGCAAACGCCATTTCTCATCATAGACAAAGGTATCACTCCCATGGTATTTACTGGTGAGGGAGTGCCTAGTACTAGACTGTTTACAACTTCCAGATTGCAAATAATCTGATTCTCACCATTCTGCTGTGAAAATGTCAAACAGGCCTTATTTTCTGGCCATTAAAAATATAACAATTATCTCTACAACCCTAACAAATAGGTCAAATATCCAATGACTGGGGAACCAATAGAAAGTGCCCTTCCTCATAATAAGTGATCCATGGGAAAATATACATAAGAAAATCTCTAAATTCCTAGAGTAGAGCAGAAAGAGTTATCAGAATTCTGCAGTAACAAGTAGTAATCTATTCATTCATTATTAGTTCTTGCCAAGCGTCTGCCGTCTACCAAATACAGTGCTCACATCCAGGTACCCATCATCTGGTATTTCCTTCCTTGAGCAAGATGTAAATAACATTGCACTCTCCAGGTCAATGGCCAAGAGTGTAGTCTTATGAGTAATAGTACTTACTGTAAATAATTTGCTTTAAAATCCAACCAGATGGACATCAGCATAAACATATATTTTTTTAAAGACTCCAGTTGTTCAGGCTGTGGTAGCTACTATTCTGATAAACACCAGTCTTGCTGAGTGTTTATCTCTTTCTAATCAGGCATATTAAAGTCATTATCATGGATGGTAAACAAAAATAATCACTAGCCATAGAGGTTTTACCTGTCATATGTATTTTCTAAGCAAAAACTATTTATTTTTGTTTTTGTTTTTCCATAGAGTGTAAGATGCCAATGGGACTAAGCACTGGTGTCATCTCTGATTCACAGATCAAGGCTTCGGAATATCTGAGTAAGTAGGGACATCATAGCCTGTGACTGGTCATTCGTGACAATTCCTGTCTCCGGGCTCTCATCTGCATAGCTTAATGAAATAGCCCCATTTATGGTGCTCCTCTGGTAGAGGAAGAAGAAATATTTCAGGAGCAAAAATATTATGCATACATTTATCATTTCCACTTCTTGTGATGTGTATTGTTCCCAAAGGGCCTTTTCTAGGAAAAATCAAGAACTCAATTTTGCTGATACCTCTACCTATGCAGCCCAGTAGTTCTACAGGGAATTGGCAGAGAGTAAATAGCTTAATCTTCTGACCTTGTAATCATTTCCCAAACTCCATTTATCTTGCCTACATTGGCTCACACACATAACCAGCCAGATTCACAAGACTCTAGCCTCCAAGGAAGATGGTTCCAATGTTTATTAGCCATTCGTCTAGTCAAGAAACTTGATCAAAATATCTCTTAATTTTTTTTTCATTCTGCCTCAAATCCCTTCCTGAGATCTAGAGGCTGTCTTCAAAAGAATAATGAGGCTCCCATATGTATTCCTCCCAAGTCTTCCTGTTTGGCAGCCATATTCGGCAGTAGCCATATCAACATAACTGAGAAAATACAAACATGACCTAGGTGCAAGAAAGGGTGGATGATGATTTACAACTGACTAAACATGGCCTGAAGCCAAAGTTTCGTCATCGAGGACTGGCTTGGCAGCCAATGTTCATGTCACCTGCCTGATTTCCTAACTATAGCATAAACCTTCCAAAGATCTGGTTCTCTGCTAGACTAAACTTATTTGAGAAATTGGTAGTTTCCATTGGGGGGGGGGGAAGGACTACTTCAAGCCAGGAATGGTAGTATATGGTTGAGGCAGAAAGACAAGACTATATATAACAAGACTTTCTTTCAAAAATAAATTAATTCACAAATTCCTTTTATTCTCCTTTTGAATTTAGCTCATTGGGAGCCCAGGTTAGCACGATTAAACAATGGTGGTTCATACAATGCTTGGAGTATAGAAAAAACTGCATTAGATTTCCCCATTAAACCTTGGATCCAGGTATGTCTAACTAACCTGATAATATTGATTGTGATTATGACACAACACCGGTGGTGGGTTTAGTTGTTTCTTGAAATGACAATTAAGGAAACAGTCACGAGTAGATGTAGTTACTGTTCTCAACAATTGCTTTCTCATAATCAACCCCGAGAGGTGGGTCAAGTAATTTTCTTTCTTTCTTTTTATTTTATTGGATATTTTATTTATTTACATTTCAGATGTTATCCCCTTACTCCATTCCCCCCAACCCTCTATCCTATCCCCCCTCTTCCTGCTTCTATGAGGGTGTGTCCCACCCACCCACTCCCACCTCCCAGCCCCCGAATTCCCCCACACTGGGGCATCCAGCCTTCACGGGACCAAGGGCCTCCTCTCCCACATATGCCCGACAAGGCCATCCTCTCCTACATATACAGTTGGAGCCATGGGTCCCTCCATGTGTGTTTCCAGGCTGGCGGTTTAGACCCTGGGAGCTCTGGTTGGTTGCCCCAACAAAGATGTCAACTGCTTTCCCAAAGTGAAACACAGCTAGTGGATCCCTACACTGACACTCAAGGTCAGATGTGCTTAGCTCAACTGTGGGTTGTATCCAACCATTTTTATGAATTTGCTAAGACCTTGGGCACTGTCCAATGCTAAAATAAAGCTGATTATGTCTTGAGTTATGGTAAGGTATGACTCACTAACAAGGTTGGTTCTGTTCACTGACTTGGCTGTATTGCAGGTGGACATGCAGAGGGAAGTTGTAGTCACCGGAATACAAACCCAAGGTGCTAAACACTACCTAAAGTCTTGCTTTACCACGGAGTTCCAAGTGGCTTACAGCTCTGACCAAACCAACTGGCAGATCTTCAGAGGGAACAGCACGAAGAGCGTAATGGTCTGAGCACATTTCTAGCTAAATCTTAAGACTCACCGCGGGCTTTCCATAGCAGCAGCCTTTCAAATTATATTCCAGGGAATTAGAAAAGTGAATGGTTTCCTAAGGGTCTTAGGAAGTAAAAACGATATTATTATGATGGATCTCTAAAATAAAGGGATATATGGAGCTACTGAAACTTCAAATCTCCACAGAACCTGAAAGGAGAAAATACATTTAAGCAAGCACCATTTCAAAACAGATTGGCAGATAGTATACAGCACAGTGTTCACCCTTGTTCAACACAGAGCCTATGTTAGAAGCTGCCTGCAAAGGTTTTTGATTTATTATCATATTTTCCTTTGTTCTTTATCTGACATATCTTGATTTATAGTGATTGTGGTCACCCAGTGATGCTCTGAGGCACTGTGCTTCTCAGGTTGCCTTAGAGGACATGCCAGAGGACTGACGGACTCCTGTCGGGTACTCCATGAGCCCAGACAAGATTCCTAGATCATTCCTCATTCCCAGGCTCCTCCCCAAAGAAAAATATTCAGACTCAGAGAGCCTGTCTACCATGATTATACAACCACCTTGAGTCTATTTCTGTTGGTACTTTATGTAAATTACTTTATCATGTGCTACTTTTTCTTTACTATCTTGGCTGTTTATAATAATGACATATTTGTAATGTAGCTTAGATAAGACCACTAAAACTCTTACATTCTGGTGCTTATAAACTAGTAAGGGGAGAGAAAATATGATAGCCATCAAAATCATACCTTAAAGATTTTCACATCCATATATATGTGGGACTTCAGCGTGTACTTTGGTGATTTTGTAGTTTGATTATCTCAAACTTTAATACCTCAATAATAGAAGACATATACAGTAAAGCAGGAAGCATTCTCTTCTGTGTTCTTTATGAGTTTTCTGAAGTCCATGAGAAGACTTTCATTTGGCAAAAATCACCCATAAACCTATTGAGACCTGAAAAGCTCTTGTGGGAAATGTTAAATTCAATTTCTTTCATTAACAGTTTAGAGGTTATTTGAATAGAATATTTCATATTAGGTGATTTATAGTACTTTGTGTGGCATTTAAAATATGAATTTCCCTTTTCCTTTAAGTTGTTGGTCATGTGTGTAGAGAGTCTAGTATTAGTTGTCCTCCGATATCTTCCTGACATCTGCAGGGTCTGTAGCAACATAGCTTATGTAATCTCTGATATCATAATTCTTCTCTTCTTTTACTTTTAGATCAGGCCTGCTGTAAATGTGTCAATTTGTTTTTCAATCTTTTCCAAGTGCCAATTCCTTTATTAATTTCCTTCTACTGTTTAATTGTGCTCAGTCTTACAGATTCCTGTGCTTTGCTTCTGTTTTAACTGGACATTTTATGATACTTCTCTGTGAGGGAAAGGGAGGTGGGGCACAGCCTGGTGATTGCCAGGTCGGGGGTCAGAGTCCAGGCCCTCATTGAGCACCTTAGGAGACATTGCTTCCCTTGGCTGCTGGGTAGATATAGAGTCCCACACTGGTTTCTCCTGACACAGCTGAGGGCTCCTTTCTGGGAAAAGTCTGGAGCTCCTGGGATGGTTCTTGAACCATTCTAGTTCCAGGAGCCTCAAAGTCTAACCCTCCATTCTAGCCGTTGCTTCTGTGCTTAGCTTGTGTCTGGGTATTTGTTTGTTTTTCTGTGATAGTTGGATGGTTTACAGCAGTTATCTAAATGAGATTTCTGTCTTCTTCACCAATAAGCCTAGAACATATAAAGTAAGCAAAAATCCCCGCAGGGGGCAGCACCATGTTATCTTTGGTTTCTGAGAAGCTTGGATAGTCTGTTTTCTTCACACCATCTTTCCATCTTTTTTTTTCCTCTTTTCTGGATAGTCCATGGTTTCTACACAGCAGGAAGAACAGGAGAAAGAGTATCAGCAAGCACTTCCTCAAAGTAGAAGTACCCACAATTAGTTTTTCAAACCAAATTAAACTGATCCTATTTCCATAAAAGAACCTTACAAAACTTGTTAGATGGAGCTTTAAAAAAATACTGTCAGTTTTTAGAGAATTGTTATTAATGGTTTCCTCTCTCCCTCTAGTATTTTGATGGCAACTCAGATGCCTCTACAATAAAAGAGAATCGACTTGACCCACCTATTGTGGCTAGATACATTAGGATACATCCAACAAAATCCTATAACAGACCCACCCTTCGGTTGGAGCTGCAGGGCTGTGAGGTGAACGGTAAGGGACGAGAAGCACCACCTTCACTCATGGACACTCCACAGCTCAGGATTTGGGTGGTGTGGGAGACTAGAATTCTTAGATACCCTTAAGGCCTTAGGCACCAGAAGAATCTTTGCAAGACAAGTTCCAAGAGGGGATATTCTCAGTATGATCTAAATGGAGATAGAGCCTGGTTCCAGTAGTCTGAGAGGTGGAGTGGGGGCAGCTCCTCACTCCTCCCTGCACAGTGTGTCACAGAAACTGTCTCATCAGCACGTTTTCAGTGAGAGCCATTTGACTCTCAAAGTCCCCCAGGCCACTCAGACTTTAGTGGAGGAGCTGTGCCACTGTCATATTTTTTGGTGATCAGTGAGCATTTTTTGAATCTGAACCTGGCTTTCAATTTCTGAAACCATGAGTGTGCTCTGTATTCTGTTTTGGATCCTGTGTAAGTACTCAAGTCATCTGAAGCTTCTTTTATTTTTTTCAGGGCATGAAATTTGTCTTTAATCTAATAAACCTAGGTCATAACTAACAGTCATAATAGTCCACTGACTATTCTCTCATTTTTAGGCAAGGCTTTCCAGAATTGCTTTAATAATTTACTTTTTTATTTTTATGCACGTTGATGTTTTCGCTGTATATGTGTCTGTGTGAAGGTGTTGGATCCTGGAGTTACAGTAAGCTGCCATGTGTGTACTGGGAATTGAACCCAGATCCTCTGGAAGAGCAGTCAGTGCTCTTAACTGCTATCTCTCCAGTATTTTTTAACTTTCAGGCACATTTAGAAAATATTATCATTGTCCAGGCATTCTGGTGTAAAAGCCAAAAACAATGGCCGAGGGCTTGGCTCACCCAGGCCTCAGCTGACTACTAAAGACCGGAGTAGGTGAAGGGATGTGAAATCACATGCTGTGTCATGCCCTGGCAAGCTTCCTGATCTTCCCCTGAGGTAGGAGAGGAAGGTCCAACAGGAAAGTGCCTGGACTTTGGATTCAGTTTCTTACCAAACCATATCATGCTGTACTTGACATTTGTGAGAGCTATGGATATGGACATTTGCCAGTATCTAGATATCAGCAGTGTAGAAAACCGCCCACACAGGATGCAAATTTTGTGTAGGCAGGATTACTCCATGAAACAGATCTGTAGGTCATGGGAGTTTTCCCTCCATAATCACAGTGTCAGTGGTAGCTTTGGTCAATCATGTAGTCTAACAAACCTAAAATGTGAGGTTCAATTCTGTTAATTTACTAAAAATATTCCTTTTCTGCATAAAGAGCATGAATTTTTCTCTTCACTTTTTGGAACTTACATAGCAAATAGTGCGTGTTTCTTTAAGGATTTTTTTTGGGGGGGGCATAGAGAAGGCCAGCTATTGCTTCAAGGAAATGCTTTTTTGTGTTTTCCCCCCAAAGGAAAAAACGAAGTAGCACTGAGATAGTCGGATGCCTTCACTCATTAGCTATGTTTCCTACACTAATAGTTCATCTTTGCTTGCCTAGAATGCTCAAAATTATACCCAAGCAAAATTCTAAAGAGTATATGTGTTCAAAATGTTGAAAGGGAAAACAGAAAATGGTGGATACCAAAGTCCTACTACATCGCCACAGCTTCAGATGGAAGAAACTCTCCTTTAAGTACAGCCCTGCATTGCTTACCTGCAGGAATCCGTCCTTAAAAATTCATCTTTAGGCTATTTTGTTTGTTACTGTGAAAATATCATAGACTATGTTTACACAGTACCAGCCAGTCACTCAATGTGGTCTCGGTACAATTAAGAGAAAGAGCTCAAGAAATTAGACTCCAGACAACCAAATAACCCTATTAAAAAATGGGGTATAGAACTAAACAAAGAATTCTCAACTGAGGAAACTCAAATGGCCATGGAGCACCTAAAGAAATATTCAGCATCCTTAGTCATCAGGGGAATGCAAATCAAAACAACCCTGAGATTCCACCTCACACCAGTCAGAATGACTAAGATCAAAAACTCAGGTGATAGTAGATGCTGGCGAGGATGTGGAGAAAGAGGAACATTCTTCCATTATTGGTGGGATTGCAAGATGGTGCAACCACTTTGGAAATCAGTCTGGCAGTTCCTCAGAAAATTGGACATATCATTACCTGAGAATCCAGCTATACCACTTCTGGGCATATATCCAGAAGATGCTCTAACATATAACAAGGACATATGCTCCACTATGTTCAAAGCAGCCTTATTTATAATAACCAGAAGCTGGAAAGAACTCATATGTCCTTCAACTGAGGAATGGATACAATAAAGTGGTACATTTACACAATGGAGTATTACTCAGCTATTAAAAACAATGAATTCAAGAAATTCTTAGATAAATGGATGGAACTAGAAAATATCATCCTGAGTGAGGTAACCCGATCACAAAAGAACACACATGGTATTCACTCACTGATTATTGGATATTAGCCCAGAAGCTTGAAATACCCAAGATTCAACTCACAGACCACATGAAGCTCATGAAGAAGGAAGACCAAGTATGGGTGCTTTGGTCCTTCTTAGAAGGGGTAACAAAATACTCAAGGGAGCAAATATGGAGACAAAGTATGGGACAGAAACTGAAGGAGGGAACGTCTGAAGACCATTCCACCTGGGTATCCATCCCATGTGCAGTCATCAAAGGTAGACACTGTTGTGGATGTCAGGAAGTGCATGCTGACAGGCACCTGATATTCAGAGGCAGATGCTCACAGCTAGCAATTGAACTAATCAAGGGTTTCCCAATGGAGGAGTTAAAATGAAGACTGAAGGAGCTGAAAGGGTTTGAGGCCCCATGAGGAGAGCAACAATACCAACCAACCAGAGCTCCCAGGGTCTAAACCACCAGTCTGGGGGCACTTAGGGAGGGACCCATGGCTCCAGCTGTATATGTAGGGGAGGATGGCCCTGTCGGGCATAGGTGGGAGAGGAGATCCTTGGTCCCATGAAGGCTGGACACTGAGTGTGGCAGAATTCGAGGGTGGGGAGGTGGGAATGGTGGGGTATGTGGGGGCACATCCTCATAGAAGCAGGAGGAGGGGGGATGGGATAGAGGGCTCCTGGGCAGGGGGGCGGAATGGAGTAGGGGGATAACATCTGAATTGTAAATAAAATATCCAATAAAAAAAAGAGACAGAGCAAGTGAGCATAACATGACAGTTTCACAGTAAGCTAATTTCTCACAAGTAGAAGGCACATGTTCAAAAATAATGATAAGTATAGTCAATACACAGAGCAGTTGTGTTGTAGTTTATTATTGACTATTATGAATTATACATAATTGTGTGCACTGCACTTCTACAAATGTCTCAGGACAGTAGGCTGATGTATGTGGACGCCATCACAAGCACAGAGGCTATATTTTACTTTATGACAACTGTGATGTCACAACACCTCCATAGCCTAATGGGACCACTTGCATTTGTGTAGTCTTTTATTAACTGAAATGTCATTGTGTGCCACATAGTGGTACATATTGTTCAGAACCACAATCTATCTCAAAGCAAAGACTTGAGATTCTATGGCTGTCTGAAGAAGGGAGAACCCACACTTAGGATACCGTGTTGGATGGGATACTAGCTGTAAGCTCAATTTCCTGTTCTGACAGTCTTGTGTTGAGCAAACTCTTGTGTCTTGCTATACTCTGTGTCCACTTCTGTCAAACAGATGTATGAGCATTGAATAGTATATTAGTAGCACCAGAATGGTATTTGCACTTGAATTCAACAAATGTCCTTCATTATGCTGTTTCCTGGAAGTGATAAATTTTTTTGCCTTTGTGTTGCAAAATGCAACTCAGGGGCCATTAGTACTGTGCAATTAATCATATTACTTTCCTCTTGACAGGATGTTCCACACCACTGGGCCTGGAAGATGGAAGGATTCAAAACAAGCAAATTACTGCATCTTCATTTAAGAAGTCATGGTGGGGAGACTACTGGGAGCCTTCCCTTGCCCGCCTGAATGCCCAGGGCCGTGTGAATGCCTGGCAAGCCAAGGTGACATCACCCATATAAATGGAGTTCTCTCACTTTCCAGAAACAAACAATGACCACCACCACAAGGGGTTGGGGGTGGCATGGTGGTGGCTGGGAACCAGAGTGTGAGTCTCTGAAGTCCCAGGTCTGAGAATCTAGGATGATTTGCAGAATCAACAGCTTTCAGCTCTAACTATGACTCAGAGAAAAGACATACCTCTTCCCTGTAATTCTTGGTAGCTCTAATTTAATTAATTTAAGACAGGAAGGGCCAACAGCTTGCAAAGAACTACATAATAATTATTTTAGGCCAGTGGTTCTCAACTTTCCTAATGTTGTAACTCTTTAGTACAGCTCCTCATGTGGTGCTGACCCCCAAGCATAAAATTATTTCTGTTACAACTTCATAACTATATTTTTGCCACTGTTAAGAATCATGATGTAAGTGTCTGATATGCAGGATATCTGGCATGCAAGCCCTGTGAAAGGACCATTTGACCCCCAAAGGGGTCTCAACCTACAGGTTGAGAACCAGAGTTTTAGGCTCATTTTTCTGTAGATTCTCTGCACGGCAACAAGTAAGTCCACATGTAAGTGAACGAAGACAATCATTGCTTACCAGTCCTGCTTGAGACACTTTAACATTAATAATGAACAAATAGTTATGGTTTATAATATATCTCTTTTTCATAATATGCCACTTTAAAATTTTTCATTCCCTTTACGAACTTTGTGACATTCTTCAAGACAGTTGGAGGCGACACAGTTATAAAACCAGGAGTATAAATCAGTGATCCAAGTTAAACAAACACCTTCCAGAAAGTTCCTTTGATATTGCTCCACTAAGGATTTCATGTTATTTGATTTGAGGATAACTATTAATAGCTGACTTATTTGTATTTCATTCTTCACCTGATAGTGGGATCACAATACCACAGTAACTTTATGGCCCCTTCAGACAAGACAATGCAAGTTCATTACTTTGTCTCTTCCCATCTCCCTCCCTTAAGATATATATTAATATATATGTAAATATATAAATAATATATAACACATACATATCTATATATGTTAATACATCCCAATTCCCAGACTCTGAAGAAATCTTGGTTCTAATCTCAGAGTAGGCCACTAGAAAGAAAATTGAAGTGTGGCACATGAGCCCCACATAGTGTCTTAGAAGCCAACCCCTGTGCTCTGAAACCCATTCAAGCCTACCGTGGACTCACAGAATGCTGGACTGGTAGTAGTTTCTAATGAAGCATCTCTCCAAATCTCTCTATCCATGCCTAAATGCACAACAGATTAAATCATCTCAGCTTAATGTCAAGGCAGGGTCTTGGCTAGAATTCTATTCGTGGCTAAAACTCAGGTTGGTCCCCTACGTGAAGCAGCCCAAACATTACATCTTGCAATTATGCAGAAGAAAATGGATATTCAGAGAAACTAAAACAATTAAAATAGTAATGCTACATTACATACTTATGTAAAAAAATAAATAATAAATAAAAGTACTATACAGTTATTCCCCAGACATCCCTTTAGACCTGTACATGGTAAATCTTGTCACCCTACACTCTATTCTACAATCTTTAAAAGAAATCCTTTCTATATAGTTAGCTTTAATCATTGGGATTGTAATTAAGACCCCTCCAAAAAAATGTTAACTTTGGTTTTTTAATAATGTCATTTTTAATCTAAATTTCTCAGTCAGAAATTTCTGTTTGATCTAACCTTTTCTTAGCACAGAATGTCTTTATATGATATTTAGAGAGGCTGAAAATCAAAGCCAGACACATGCAGGTATGCATAGCCAATCTGTCCATGGTCGAGTTTACCTGATATATACAAAGCCCTTCACCTGTATCTTGTATCATTGATACAACCCTGATTTTAAGTCACTCTAAGATGACACACAGGGAATCTCCCAAAGTTGACAAAGTTTTCATCCTTTAATTCAATCAATTTGCTTTTAAAAAGCTATATCATGTAAATATATAGACACACACATATTCATATACACACAGTATATTCATATATACACATATATGTCCACATGAATATGAATGACATTGAGGAAATAGCATTTGTTTCATACATAATTGCATGATACATCTCCCAAAGGTAGAAATTCATCCCAGACTAGACACTAGTCCTTCTGAACTCTCTTCAGGAGCATGTCACTGTCCTTCTGAACTCTCTTCAGGAGTATGTCACTATCCTTCCGAACTCTCCTCAGGAGCATGTCACTGTCCTTCTGAACTCTCTTCAGGAGCATGTCACTGTCCTTCTGAACTCTCTTCAGGAGCATGTCACTGTCCTTCTGAACTCTCCTCAGGAGCATGTCACTATCCTTCTGAACTCTCTTCAGGAGCATGTCACTATCCTTCTGAACTCTCTTCAGGAGCATGTCACTGTCCTTCTGAACTCTCTTCAGGAGCATGTCACTGTCCTTCTGAACTCTCTTCAGGAGCATGTCACTGTCCTTCTGAACTCTCTTCAGGAGTATGTCACTGAATATGAGGAGACTGTTTGTGAGGCTAGACTGTGACATGTCTTAAGCAGATACTCAATGCTTTCTCAGTCATCCCTCAAACAATTTATAGCCTTTAAACAAACCTGCTTAAGAAAACACTTCCAAATAATTTGGAAATGTAATCTTTTTGTTTAAAAGTAAAATTCATTTATCAGTAAGTATCCAGCAGCTACTTATTAAACGCCAACTGTGTACCTTGTATTGCTATGAATACCAGGAAAAAAAACTAATAAGCCCTCACCCTGGAGCAGCAAAGGACCTAAACAAGCAAATAATTACTATATATGATATGGAATGCATCAGTAAAAATTAAATATTTTTAAGTTGGCATACAGAGCATTAGATTTCTTTGTGGCATTTTGTCATTATACTTCATTCTTAATCATTATTTCCCTTCAGCACTGCCTTCTCCAGTCAGGCATACTCTATTATTCTCTTTAATCTCCCCTCTCAGTCATGATCCATAACAACAAATAAGAAATCACAGGGAAGTCTTCTAAAAGACAGAGACTTGTAAGGGAGGAGATGGAAAAGCTTTACGAATTTTCTAAACATCTTCTTCTTAACCAAAAGGAAGGATTAACGTCTTCATTTCAGCCCTTTGTTTTGTTGTTTTCGTAGGCAAACAACAACAAGCAGTGGTTACAAGTCGATCTGCTCAAAATCAAGAAGGTAACAGCCATCATAACACAGGGTTGTAAGTCTCTGTCCTCTGAGATGTACGTGAAGAGTTACACCATCCAGTACAGTGATCAGGGTGTGACGTGGAAATCTTACCGGCAGAAGTCCTCCATGGTGGACAAGGTATGGGATGCTGCGTTGGCAAAGGTTTTGAAAACTGTCTGGAAACTGTTTCCTGACGAGAAATCACAGTATCTTGCATTAGCCAGTACAGATTATCTAACCACTCCCCCAAGTCTTCTCAACCCCCACTCCTGCGCCCCTTCTATAGGTGGCTGGTCTCAGCAGAGGGACCATTTGCATCATTTTTCTGACTCAGCCACCTGTGAAACAGGGAGTACATACTACCAGGGGATGCTGTGAGGCTTTTGTTATCTCTCACTTAGAATGATGTAAACCTATCCAGAAAACCTTTCACTAAAATGAAAAACAAAACAAACAAAACAAAACAAAAACAAAAAACCTTGCTGCAGATAGACTTGCTGCTTGTAGCAAGTCAGATACCCAGGACCACAAGCCTCTGTATGCTACATTGCTACTAAACAGGAAACGTTTGGAAAGACTACCCTTCTTGTGAAATCAACTGCCTAAGTCCCCCTACCTTCTAGAAGCAGAGCCAGGGAAATGTGCTTAGTCATCCAGGAGTGGGAACCGGGCTAAAACTAGTAGGAAAAACAACACAGGGAGGGGAACTAAGCTTTACTGAATTCTAACCAAACGCTCACTCAGCACAGATCATGTTTGTGCCCCTTTCTTATCTTTTACTATCCCGGCAGTGGGTTTTATCTTGTTATAGCATGCTTTCCTCACATCAGGGAACCTGCTGTCAGAAAGACTCTGCTGTGTGTGTACATCTCAGGGAACTTCCTGAGAGTGAAAACAAAAAAGAACACGAGCGAACACTCAAGGGGAAGAAGCACACAACCAAACGGAACAATAGAGAGAACCGGAGGATCGCACTTATACTGAATGTCGATAACAAGTTACTTATTGGCATCTGCTACACGATGCTCACCAGATATTTGCTGTGTATTTGCACACACTTTCAAATCTGTGCAGCATGTGTGAGGTAGAGCTTTTATTCTCACTCTGAGGATGAGGCAGTGGAGTGCAGAGGAACACAATGACTTCAAGGCCGCACAGAGACTAAGAGGCTATAGAAGAAGTAGATTTGCAAATACTTGTGTCTGCTTTATTTATTTTTCCTAATTTGACACATCTGATTGAGAAATGGGCATCTTTAAGGGGACATCAATCTGGCTTGTGATTTCCCTGTATCCTGAGAACAGTTACAGAAAAAAACAAAGATGACCGACTTTGGCATATGAAGATAAATTAAGACTAAAACAGGAACTCCCATGATGCCAATGCTGACCATTTTCATCATGTTTTCCTTGCAGATTTTTGAAGGAAATAGCAATATCAAAGGGCATGTGAAGAACTTTTTCAACCCACCTATCATATCCCGATTCATCCGCATCATTCCTAAAACATGGAACCAAAGCATTGCACTTCGTCTGGAGCTCTTTGGCTGTGACATCTATTAGAATTAAAGTCTAAAAAGAAAAATAACAAATAAAAGCTGAAGAAACTCCTTCAGGCCTAGACCATTCAGAGCAGGCAATATAGTATGGATATTTTAAATGTTAACAAGCGTTCTGCTATTTTTTTCCTAATAGAGAATAATGAGAAGCTTTTACAGTGTTCCTTCATCGCTGTCATTAAGTGAGACGGCGACTATTATTTCTTCACTGGTTTGAATATAAATGGGAAATATTAAGACCAGGCAAGAATAAGACTGTCTTTCACTCTGATTAAAGACGCTATATAATGTAATAGTTATATAATGGAATGATATGAGTCACTGTGGCTCTTTCAAATCCTGTAGACATTAACAAAAGAGATAATACTTTTGGAAACTTTTCATGGACCTAGAAAACCGTTATTTCTATATTTTTCTTTTAAAAGCAAACTGTAATTTGTAAACAGTGGAAACAAAGTAGTTGAGGTTTTTTTTTTATAATAGGAAAAAAATATTTTGTTGTAATTGAGTGAGAACTTAAAATACCCAGTGTTGGTCTAGCTCAGTGGGCAAAAGCGCTTGCTGCCAAAACAAAGGAACAAGAGCAACACAAAACAAAAACAAAACAAACCCGGATGGCCCAAGTTCAAGTCCTGGAGCCCACAGTGAGAGGAGAGAACGTATGCCAGAAAGCTGTCCTCTGGCGTCTGCATGCAGGGCTGTGGCACATGTGTGTGCCCACGCCCACGTACAAGCAAATAAAAGACTTTCAAAGCTTGTCTTTCTGTGTCATCTCGAGTGTTCTGATTCTCCACAAGGAAAAAAACAGTTGAGCATGTTTCTCACGGTCCAGTTGGACTTGTGAGTCTGTCTTGTTTGGGACAGATAGCACATATCGATATCCTTGTGTACCAGCCATCAGACATTAAAAAGAAAATGTCAATGATGGCCTTGGGAGAACTGGTCATGTGCCTTGGCTTGATCAAAAAGCTGGCACGGTGTGGCATACTGTTTCAAAACTTGGGTTCACCTAAGGGAAGGTGCTTACCTGTAAAGGAAAATATGGGACTGTTGGCTCAAAGCTTTGCACAGTTCCTCTCAGAACTGCTCCAGGCCAAACTGGCAAGAGGATGAAGAGCTCTTTCTGTACCTTTCTTTCTGCCTCTCCTCACACAGCAGCTTCTTCTGTTAGCATACTTTTCTCTGAAAACTCGGAATTTCATGGTGTTGCATCACTTGCCAGTCTATGGAGCCTTTCAACATCTGTAAAGTCACTTGGGATGGACGCTTTATACACACAGGATAGTCATTCAAATAGAGAGCTGAAACCATCTGGTTTTGTGAAATAAGCCTCCCCAATGCTTAAGTAAGAATTGTGTGAAATATGCCTGATATAAGATAGATACTCTTAATATAATTTTACGATGTGTCAAAACAAGCTTATATACCATAAATATAATTTTTAGGTTAAAATTTTAATTGCAAAACAACATCAAACTTATTCTCTTTCCTGGTGCTGTGGGTTCATGGGGTTCAGATGGACAGTCTAATTGCTGGCTTCACTTGGTGTCACCCACAGTTATTGTGAAACCACAGCCTCAGCTGCATTCCTAAAGGGGTTTATATGAATGTAGAGGTATGTGGGTTGGGGGTCCTTTCTACCTCTTGATATTGTCTCAGCTCCAACCCTCACTACCTGACTTCTCCATGTGGTCTTCTAACTCTATGTTTCCAGTGAGTAGGTCTCTCTAGGCAAATGCTCAAATGCTAAGACTTTTTAAAGTCTAGGCCCACAGCAGAAGCAGAGCCCCATCTCGGCCACATTCTATTGGTTGAAGCAAGTCAAGAATAGGGGAGACAAGACTCAGTGTAGGAGAAAACTATATGTGATGTGCACACAGGACCACTGTTGACTGGGAGTTTCTAAACTCTCAGTTGGTGCATCTTCCCGAGAACTTTGCAAATATGCATGAGTGCTTTCGACATCCATTGAGTAGTGACTTTCTAGAGGCATATATGTTTCCATTGTTGCTTTCGCTTCGTGATTCACACTACCATGTACCAAAGCTTCTCTAAGATTTTCATTGTGCTAACAGCAACTGAGAATCTGAAGTTAAAAAAAAATAAATCTCTGCCTTTTCCAAGTCTGGTCTTGTGGAAACACAATTGATTAAACTACCAAGGGGCTCTGGGCTTCGGTTACTACTCAGCCATTATCCTCTTGACACCTTTAACTTAAGGATAAAGAATCTAATATTTTTATTTTTTTAATAAGCCACCTAATTTATAAATAAGCTTTATAAAGCTAGTTCTTGGTATCTCGTCTATAGAACTGGATGGATTCCCATTTCTCTCTCTCTCTCTCTCTCTCTCTCTCTCTCTCTCTCTCTCTCTCTCTCTCTCTCCTCTATGTCTCACTATATAGCCCTGACTGCCCGTTGGAACTCACTAGACCTGGCTGGCACACCCAAGACTCTAAGGGAAAAGTCAATCAGAACTCTTACTTGTTAGTGTCAGAGGCAAAACCAGACAAACCGACAATCATAGCATAAAAGGGAAATTAAATGTGTAAGTCACACCCCCTAGAGAGGCAGATATGAGTATTAATTAACAACTCAAAATTAATCTGAAAAAAAATGAGTATCAACGAAAATGTTTGAGTTATAAGTGACTTTGAAGCAAAACATAGTTCCACATTTTGTCCATCCCTTTGAAGTTGTTTAGCTGATACTGCAGCTTTGGCTACCTGGTATCTCCTCCCCTGACATAAGACAATGCACTGTTTGTTATCTCCTAACTGGTTCCTATGGAAAGAAGTTGAGTGACTCACAGAGGAGTTCGGAATTGCAAAGAGAAGCCAACAATTAAGATTCTAAACACTATTAGTCATTCTAATTGAAAGCTGGGGAAGAATGGCTGAGCGCATCCCACAGATGAAAAGTCCTCAGGAAATGTGGACTTGCTTCTTCAGAGGGATTTCAAGGACCGAAGAAATACCATGCTACTTTTCATAAGAAAATTGAACAAGGATCATCTTTTGTGATAAGGACCAGTATAACAATCTCAAGGGGAAATGTTTGTCGTATTTGGAAAAACCTGGTTGATAGATAAGCTACTCACAGGGCATAGCTGGACAGTAGCAAGACCTTCAGGTGTTTATATAAAGGCTTTGTCTCCGGTCACCATTTACATTACCTTCAAGTCATTTGCACTTTTATTATTTTACTTTAAAGAAAAGCTTCTCCTTGGTGTCTTAGGAATGACGTGCAGTGAGCCCAGACCGTTGCTTGTTCTTTATTGGCATGGAATTTGGTAATGGTCTCTCTTCTATGTAGGCCCAGGATTTTCCAATTGTACCTCAATTCATGAAATTCTGACTCTGAGACTTACTATTTATGAATAAATGTCTAGGTCGCAACCTTTGGCTGGTTCTCCAACTAGCTCATAACTTAATTAATCCATTTATTCTATATTATGAGTGCCACATGGCTGGCTACGTCTTCTCACTTTCATCCATCTGTCTCCTCAGATTTGGGTTGGAGGAATCTCTTCCCTTGCCTGGCTGTATCCCAGAATTCCTCTCTCCCAACCAGAACTCTCACCTCCTATTTCCGGCCTCAGCTAATAGGCCATCAGCCTTTTATTGACAGATGAGATACTTCCATACAGTATGTAAGAGAGTCTTTCTACAGGTCTACTTGTTTTCAACTCCTTGCCTTAAGTACTGTTCCATCACTGAGAGACTATAACCACCACTTCTCAGGCTTTGCTGATGTGTTTGCTTGGAACAGACTTGTGATATCAGCTGGCTCATCTAGTACTCTATTTGTCTGTACTCCAAGTTGGTCTCAAACATGCCTGCCTCCAACATGCATTGCTTTCCATTGCTGCTCCGTCTTCTCCCTCGTTTTTCTCAGGAATTGACATTTGGCTGCACATGTAGCATTCCAGGACCTTCACAATGGTTAACCTGTAATTACTGAGGCTAACCTAATGACTGAATGCCATACCTGAACTTTTAAAAATAGATTTAACTGACTACATTATGGTTTTTGCCTCAGGAGTAGGTACAGTTAACATTTGTTTATATACTGAGCCCTCTAGGACTTCTTATAAAAGATTCAGAAAATTTATCCACATAGAAAATTGGAAACTTTAAATGGAATTGTCTTAGTCAGTGTTCTATTGCTGTGAAAAGATGCTGTAACCGTGGCAACTCTTATAAAAGAAAGCATTCACTGGAGCTGCCTTACCTTCAGAGGTTTAGTCCATCATTGTCATGGCAGGAAATATGGCATCATACAGGCAGGCATGATGCTAAAGAAGTAGGTAAGAGTTCTACATCTGGACCAACAGGCAGCAGGAAGAGAGAAACACTGGGCCTGGCTTAAGCATTTGAAACTTCAAAGCCTGCCCCAGTGACACAGTTCCTCCAAACAGTACATACCCACTGATAATGCCACTCCCTGGTCACCAAGTTTTCAAATCTATAAGGCTATGTGGGCAATGGCTATGTGGGCAATGCCTATTCAAACTACCACAGGAATTAAGGGAAAAGTTTCTTTCAAAACACACACACACACACACACACACACACACCTGGTTGTTAACAGAGGAAATAAGCCAGGTGGTGGTGGTGCACACCTTAAATCCATGCACTCAAGGGGGCGGAGGTAGGAAGATCTCTGAGTTCAAGACAGCCTGATCTACAGAAGGAGTTGCAAGACAGGGCTACATGGAGAAACCGTCTCAAAAAGGCCAAAGGTAAAGAGAGAAAGAGAAATTTAAAGACAAACTAGAAAGACTAGTCAGCATGATAGATAATTGCAGCGCGCAGCCTCGCCGATGAGAACGCCACACTCAGGATTCTTCTGACAGCAATTTATTGTACAGCTCTCTAGATAGCAGTGAAGCGAGGGACGCCAAGCCCGAAAAAACCTGTGGCTTATATAGAGCCCTAGGAGACGTGCCACACACTCATTGGCTCTCACGACATTGCCAATTAGCATACTGGTTTTCGCGCCTTGCGCAGGCGCACATTCAAGCAAGGCTCTCAAGAAGAACCAGGAAGCAGGAAACCGGCGCCATGTTGCAATGGCGAACGCGGCTCCTAACAGATAATACTGTGCATTGTGAAGAAGACCACAGTTTTTTGCAATACATCAAATAGACTAGACCATTATATATTGGCTGGTGGTGATAATATGTTCTGATATTTGGGGCTATTATAAAGAATGCTCCCTATCCCCTAGCAGCCAGCATGCTAAATCAAAAATGAATTGGGAAGCCAACACTCTCAACTAAAAGTAAAATTCTAAAAGATTGTTTGGGGGGGTGTAACTCAATGGAGCTTACCAAGTATATAGGAGTCCCTAGGTTCAATCTCCAAGACAATAATAGTAATAACAATCCCTAAAGCCAGCACATTTTATGTATGTGAGTGAATGGTTATGTTTATCTCTTATCTTGCCCCAGAAGATTCAAAGTGATTGGATTGAGGTGAACGCTTAGTGGGTGAAATGCTAGCCATTAGATCCCGATGACCTGAGTCTGGACTCCAAACATCTCTGTAAAAGTCGGGTAACGCGTACTGGTCAGCCAGCGAGAGCGGGTCTAGCCACAATGGTGAGCTAGTGAACTCACAATGGTGAGCTAGTGAACTCACGATGGTGAGCTAGTGAACTCACGATGGTGAGCTAGTGAACTCACGATGGTGAGTTCAGTGAGAGACTATCTACAAGAATAAGGCAGAGGGTGATAAAAAAAAAAAGACACCAGACT